GAAAGAAAATTTGATATTGTTTTTATTGAATAAATATTCTGAAGATACCTTAGATTTATATAAGGATTTCAAATGTTGAAAAATAAAAGCAGTAAAATAAATTCAAATGGTTGTGTAATATATAATAAAGCTCAGACTACTTCTGACCAAAAATTTGAAAAACAAATATCTTACAAAGACCATTGCAGTGGAGACAATAAAATGATTATTTCTGAAGCCCATATCCACAATATTAAAAGAAACAAACGTAATAAATCTACTAGCAAAACACATAAAAACAGAATCCACATTAAAGAAAGAAAATGATAAAAAGTCTCAAAAAAATTCAACTTCTACTGAATTAACATTAACTATTCCACAAGGAAGAATTTTGAGATCTATGCATACTAAACACCGGACATTAAACAAATATGAGAAAAATATGTTTAATCCCTTAATTGAAAGCTGTAACAGTAAAACAAAGTTAAATAAAATAAAAAAATCACATGTAACAAAAGTTAACCATAGACGAATGAAAAAACATGATTTACCAGCATCAACTCATTTTGATAACAAACCTACAATATATTGCGACTCGTGCAATTATACTCTTTTCTGCAATAAGATGTTAGAAAAACATTGCAACACAGCTTCTGGCAAATCAGATATAGTATCACAGTGCACATGTCCACATAGTTTTAAAACAAAACCTTCACAGAAGAAATCTACAAAAATGCAAACATATGAAAGTGCAGGGCAGTCTGCTTCAGAAACCAATGTTCAAACATTAATTGATTCCAAACGTAAAACGGAATGTTATATCTCAATGAAAAAAAAAGGGAAAAAGGAATACAAAATTAACAAATCTATTAATATTGAAGAATCAAAAAAAATTATTCATAGAAGAGGTGAAAAACAAACAACCACAGAATTAGCTTGTCATTTTGAAATAAATAAAGGCAGACAACCAAACTTAAATCATGCAAGAGAAAAATATAAGCAACATACTAACAAAATAGTAAGAAATAAATGTTTTAAAAGAACATTAGGAAAAGAAAGTACAAATAATTTTTCAAAAAATACTATACTAGAATCAAATACAAATGACATAAAAATAAAGAAAGAGATGGTAATGTCTAAAAATTGTCCAGACACTAAACAATTAATTGTACCCTTAATTAAATTAGAAGATCTTCCCTTATCTGAATTATCAACATTAATTTATACTCCAACTAATGTTGAAAGCAAACCAAAGAAACAAGAAAATAATATATGTCAAACAAAAAATATCCCAAAGGTATATAAACAATACAAAACTAGTAAACTTGAAACAAATGAAGAAATACATGTATTACATCGTACTTGTAATTTGGAGACAAATATTGTAAAACAACTTAATAGAAACCTAACAAATATAAAATTTGAAACCAATAAATATGAAGTGTCTTCTGAAAATGAAGTTGATAACACAAAGATGTTACAAAGTACTAAACCTAAATTACAAAATACACATTTATTACAAAATATTTTGCAATTCTTTACAAGATATAAGAGCAATATGACAAAGAGAAAAAGAAAACCCAAATCAAAACTTACTATTTCAAAAAATTTCCATAAATATGAAGTAAGGAAATCTGTAGCAATGTGTGTTAAATGTAAAGAAGTATTTAGTTTGTTACAACAATTTTCAGATAGAACAAATTTTCTAAAAGATGAAAAATTATGTATTGAATGTACGCTTTGTTCCTTACAAATTAATTCTCTGTCTTATTTTCAACAACATGTAATGGATGTACATTTACAATGTGAAAGAAAGTCATTGACCGCAAAAAAGAAATTTACTGTTGAAATTGTTACTTTCGATGTACAATTAAATTTGAATAATAATGATAAAATAATTTTTGAATGCTGTTGTTGTTCGAAAGTATTTAATCATATAACACATTTTGAAGAGCATATTAATAAAATGCATAATGTGATTAATAATTTCGTAGATAGTATAACAAACTGTACAGCAAAGCAAGAAATTGAAACTTCTGAATTGTGTAAAACATATAAAAATGAAGAGACGTTTAATAAAAAACAGGTTTCAAATAAAAATCTCATTTTTGATATTACAACTAATATGACAGAAATTTCTAATCAAGAGGAGGAATATGAAGTACAAAGTAGTAATCATATGAATGAATATTATATGAACACAAAAAGAATTAATTCAGAAGACAATATATATCATAGTAAGTCAAATAATAATAATGTATCATTAAAAATGGAAGTAAAAAAAGAACAAACGATTAATATAAAGCAATTGAGTGTTACTCAAATAACTAAACCAATTTCCAATATGGAAGAACATATGGCAGATTTAAATGTTGATGAACGATGTTCAAATTTAAATAACATTTTGAAAATTCCATTAATTTCTGGTCAACATTCAAATACTCCTAACAGTAAATTTAATCCAAGATACAAAAAAATCCAAAATACAAAAAGGAAAAATTACTTTCCTTATATTTGTAACATTTGTTTTAAAAAATATAAAAGAGAGTATACATTTTTATCTCATATGTCTAAAAAACATGGAACAAATTCTAACACTAATATATACAAAGAACAAAATGCACAGGAAATTGTAAAGGATGGTAATGTGATTAAATTTGGGAATGACCTGACTGTATCAAATATATACAATAAATATTTTCAAGATTGTACTAACAATCCAAAAACTCTAACTGTAAAGTTAGAAGAAGCAAACCAAAGCAGTTTAATATCAGAAATAATTGATGAAGGAATGAATAGTGTTAAATATGAAAACAAAGTAAATGTTATGAAAAAAGGCAATATTGTGCTAGAAACAGATGAAGATTACAATTATATATGTCATATAAATCTTACACAAAACTCAGGAAAACCTATAAAAAGACAAAAATCAATGAAATTCAATATAAATGTTACAAAAAGATACAAAACTAATACTAGTGAACAACAAAATATGAAAAGTGAAATTAAAAGTAGTTTCCTAATAGTTTCTCAAGAATTTGAAAATAGTTTTCCAGTAACAACAAATATTAATTCTACATATGATACCAATAAAGAAAATGTTGTAATTTATGGATCAAAAGAACTGTATTGTAATATATGTGATAAAAGATTTAGCTCTCAAACAATATTAAAAGAACACATGTTTATCTTACATGATTCTTTATTTGAAGATTCAAATTTGTCAAATATACCAGTGATAAATTATCTTAATAATTGCAGCAAACTGAAAAACTTACCTATACAAAATACTCATGTATTTAAAAAGGAACATAATGTTTCATCTGAAATACAGATCTCAAGATTTTTGCACAAAGAAAATAAAATGCATGAGAAACCAATTTACCAAATTTGTAGTAAAAATAATATAAATAAAAAAAGTAAAAAATGGCGTTGCAACTCATGTAAAGAAAATTTTGCATTACTTAGAAATTATTTACGCCACAAGTATTACTGTCACAATGATGAATCAGTAGTTCATATTTGTGATAACTGTAATAAAGTTCTTACTTCAGTTGCAATGGTAAACATTCATATGTGCACTAGTGTTACTTCATGGAATTGTAAAAGGTGTTATTTGAATTTTTCCAATGGTATATCATTAACACAACATAATATGAATTATCATTTAGAAACTGTAGGCCCACATGTATGTGAAATATGTAAATTAAATTTTCTTACAACATATATGTTAAAACGACATATATCTACACATTCAATAAATGATTACAACAATTTAAATAATTATGTAGATTCATCTATATCCACAGAAAACTGTTTGCCTTATATTTTGAATAATATAAACGCTAGTACTGAATTCGTTATAAAAGAAACACAACTAATAGTTGACAAAGCAGTTTGTTATACAAATACAAATATAGAAAATTCAGAAGAATTAAATGAATTGAATACAACGCTTTCAGAAATGTACATTACATCCAATATACCATGTAATAGTGGAGAAATATTGCAATGTAAACTTTGTAATATATTCTGCACTACAAAGATACAAATGAAACTTCATCTAGAAAATTGTCATAACTTAAACATAGATATATGTCAAATTTGTAATGAACTATATTTTGCAGATGAATTAACAAAACATTTAATATGTCATCATATAGTCTTTGATAACTTACTTTTTAGAGAAAATGATATTAATATTCAAGTAACATATAGACAAATAGCTGCCCAAAATAATTTAACAAAAATGCTTGGATTGAAACGCTTACTGTCTCTGTTTGAATATCAGAGATTTGATGATGTGCCACAAAATAAAGGTTTTAATTGCATAATATGCTCAAAACAATTCACAAGTATTCAGTGTTATAAAATTCATTATTTACAATATCATGATATGATATGTTTATTGTGTAACATGGAATTTAAATATAATTTTCAAGCATTTGAACATAAAACAAAAATTCACACATCCATTGATTTATATTTATGGGTAGTACAAAATTTAACATTAGCTATTTTACAATTAAATAAATATGGAAGTACCATTGAAGAAGTAATATTAAAGTATAGTGAAACAAGAATATATTAAAGAAAATACTGATAAATTATCTAATTAGTCAAAGTGCTGAAATTATACTTCAAGCTGCACAAATGTATTATACCTGTTAAGAAAATATAAATTTAATAACTTAAACATATTAATTTAAATAGAATTTATTGTATTCTAATTGTAACTATGTTAAATATACAAAATCATAAATTATACAAAACTGAATTAATCACCTTTCTTCTCTCTTCTCTTTTCTTCCATGATTTTTAAATTTACATTTTCATAGTATATCTACTTGTTTCTTACAAATAATGTAATGGCACAAGTTGTTTACATTTTAAATGATCATTAAATTAAAAAAAATCATTTTTAAACATAAAAAATTGAGCAAGTATATAGAAAATCAAATTTTAACTACAGTACCAGCTAGATAAATGCTCCCAGTTTCAAACCAACAATAAACATTTATTCAAACATAGACTTGAAGAATCGCCGATGAAAGAAACGGAGAATGACAGTGAAAGAATTAACAAATATCTCGACTACCGCAGCTCGAAGCACTGGACGATGAATCATCAGTACAATGTATGAAAAACTAAATGTTTCTAATTATTATTTAACCTTAATAAAACAGTCATTAATGGATTAACAAGATCTCCTTGATAAAAATGAAACGACATTTGTAAATTATTGAAGTATATATTAGGTGTACAATTTAATTCGTGGCCTTTGTTTCGTAGATTTGTTATTTATTTAAAGAAAAATAAAATACAGTTCAGTCTTGGAAATAATCTCCATCACTTGCTATACATTTATTCCATTTCTCAGGCAGTTGGCGAATTCCCTTTCGAAAAAACAATGCCGGTTTCGAACGTATAAAATCAGCAATGTTATTATTGACATCTTCATATGTTTTGAATTTTGAATCGGTTAGATGGTGCTGAAGTGAACGAAAGAGATAATAGTCTGATGGAGCTAAGTCTGGGTCATAAGCCGCATGAGGCAGAATTTCTCATCCCAAAGACCTTTCGCTTTAAGAACACTTTTTTTAAGTTGAAATGTTTCTTAGGTTTCTTAGGTTATGTCATTAGTCACATTGAGTCCGATTTCTAATAGGTATTAGTTAAAATGAATTGTTATTCAGTCTATTGTATTGAAATTCTAATTGATTCTAACGTATACAAGTGGTACAAGAAGGCTGAGTGTGTACAGGGTGGACATAGGCTAGCTAGTAGCCCCCGACCACTCTATGAACTTTAACGTCTATACTCGAAAGTGTATCGTCAACACTAACACGTTACCCAGATTATCCAAAAATTGAAGAAGTTACTTTTAAAATTGAACATTCTACGGTGTTTCGAGAGATTTGATAATCATAGTCGAACCTTAAACGAACGTTCAAACGAAGAAAATTTTCCAAAAATCATTTCGTACGTTATTAATCGATAAAACAAAAATTCATTGTTGAAAAATAAATATTTCCTGAAAATCTTCATCTTCCATACAAGATTCAAGATTTTCCCTAATTAAGAGTAATTTCAAAAGATTATCTGTATAAGCTATTATTTCAATACGCGATGCACTGACTCTAGTATTTACTAAAATTCAAAAATTCTCGTATAAATTCCGAAAATAGATTATTAATTACGGTAAACTACTGAGACGGTTTAATTAAGGGTGGGCATGGTGCTGCTTTAGTTTGAAATGATTTATAAACACATAATTAACAGAGGAAAAACCGTGAAACGGCAAAACGTCTACATTCTAATTGTTATAACATGTAAACAGAACTTTAAATTTAGTGTAAACAGAAAAAATATATAATACAATTTATTTCACGGTATTGCAACAAATAAACGTTGAATCAATATTTAATTCGTATAAAAACAATTATTTAACGTAATAATTTTACCTTCACTATGGCTATTTTTAATCTACGACCACAGGTCAACCTGATTTCTAATCCTTACGAACTTTAAATTCAGTCTAAACTGAGAAAATATATAATACAATTTATTTCACGGTATTGCAACAAACAAACGTTGAATAGATTCTTAATTCGTATAGAAACATTTATTTAAAATAATAATTTCACCTTCACTATGGCTATTTTAAATTTACGACCAAGGGTCAACCTGATTTTTAATCCTCCGAACTTGATTTCACAACGAGAAAGTAATAAGATCGTTGAAACGTACTTATTTGTCAAAGAAACTTGCAAAAATGTATAAATAATAATATGTAATGTTTTAACAAATTTTTGGAAGTATAAATTAATAATAAAATTGTGAAAATTAATAAATTATACGTTATTATAACATTAATAGAATTATGACTAAACCGAAGTTCGAAGTCGAGTATTTAAAGTCTGATATTACGTGCCTAGCGAGTGCCGGTAATTGTTAAAATTTGTTTAATAATTAGTAATAGAAATTCTAATTGATTCTAATGTATACAAGTGTTACAAGAAGGCTGAGTGTGTACAGGGTGGACATAGACTAGCTAGTAGCCCCCGACCACTCTATTCACATCTCAGAACCTTCAGGTCAAAATACGCCGCGAAGTGTCTAGGGCCCAGTATAAAGGGTAAATGATTTCGCGGGACATCGGCGGGTCCTTATATACCTGCGGTACCCTCTCCCCAAAGTCATTAGCAAAATCGTCGGTTAGGTCAGGCGGGAAATTTTCGCGGGAGATTTTCGCGGGAGATTTCCGATATCGTAACACGGTATAATTTATCAATTTTCACAATTTTATTAAAAATTTATACTTCCGACAATTTGTTATAACATTGCATATAACAATTTATACGTTTTAATACCATGAAATCAATTATATTATACGTTTTCTATATTTACACTAAATTTATCGTTCTATTTACATGTCATAACAATTATAACTACACGATATGCTGCGTCCGTTTGTTTTTTCTCTGCAGTTCAACCTAATTTACTTAAATTTACGTTGCGAGACAGTATAATATTTACAATTCTGCTTGAATTTTTGAAATTCAGAAAAACACAGGTAAACTTCCATTGCATTTAAACGATATTCTTCAAAAATTCCAGATGAAAAAAAAAAGTAAAATTAAAGAAATTATTCTATATATACTATTCGCAATTAACTATATACTATTTGGTTAACTAATTGTTGAATATAATTAAAAAAATTAAATACGTTAATAATTCCACAAACGAAGTATGCGAACCTAGTCTGTAACGTTCGTATAATTCTTAAAAACATAGTTATCGAAATTCACGCTATGCATACTGCAGCGCTCATTTTTGTTATCCCCACTGTCTTGTGTTTGTACAATTGACTTTCAAATCAGATTGTTTCTCAACCGTTCCAAGTTGATGTGATTTTGTGAAGTGTAGACATTTCAAAACTGTGTAAATAAAAATATTAAAGTAAAAGAAAGTGAAAGTTTGTTCAAAAAATTTATATTTTCGTAGTTTAATATTATAATATGTAGACGAACAAAATTCCATAACACAATGTATTTCCTTGTCGTACGTAATTAGTAAAATCTCTTTAATGCATTACAATAGCAAAGTTTTTAATAAATTAAACTTCATCGATAACGATAATATTAAAGGTTACTATACAATATTATTAGATACGATACACTGCTTTTTGAAATAAAAATATGCAAATTATACTTAATTATTTATATAATTTGCTTTAATATATTAATATAAGGAATAAACAACGCTTTTATTCCAATTCATTGATATAACTTCTTTATAAAAATACAGTATGAATGTCCATATTTCATAAAAATTTCTTTACTATATTTCATTTTATTCTTTAATAAATATTTTTTGTTA